CCCCTTTCAAGGGAGGAAATTTGCATCCAAAGCATCACGAACGCTTTAAGTGGGAGTTTCAAATGAATCCAGAGCAGATCCATGCCGCCAGCTTGTGTCTGTGACTGGAATCCCAGCCAGCAGCAGCCTGAGACCGCAGGGAGAGCCTCCCCTCGGTAAGAGGTGAGAGCTCCAGCTTGTAGCGCAGGGAAATAACGCGGAGCACAACATATGTGCAGGTAATCCCACACGAACAGGCCACAGCCATTAGTGCTAATTGGGGCTACCAGCCCCATGAGCCTGAGAATGAACAAGAATCCCAGAATCCCAGCCTGGTTTGGGATGGAAGCGACCTTAAAGCTCCTCCAGTTCCAACCCCTGCCACGGGCAGGGACCCCTTCCACTGGAGCAGCTTGCTCCAAGCCCGTGTCCAACCTGGTCTTGAACACTGCCAGGGATGGGGCAGCCACAGCTTCTCTGGGCACCCTGTGCCAGCGCCTCAGCACCCTCACAGGGGTGGAAGGTGGATATAAGGAAGAACTTCTTCCTTACATCCACCCTGCGCAAGCACTCGGTCTGCATCCTACTGCATCTCCCTGCATCCCACACAGACTGCCCCGGTGAATGCTCTCCATGCCTTTGGTAAGCACTGCAGCTAACTTTGCACAGCAGCTCCTCAGGGTGCTGCTGCCGTGGGGCTGGGTTTCCCCATGCTGCTGCAACGCTGCGCTGAGCTTACCGCAGGCACACGGCCTGGGAAGCATGGATTGAAGGGGAAGGGAGCAAACTATGGGCCAGGCTTTAACCCCTCTGGGGCTTGGACCAGCCTAAGACAACTGTGCCCTGCACAGACAAGCCTTAGCGGTGGTGAGCAGCGGTGTGAGCAAGGAGCCTACAGCTTAATTCAACCAAATCAAGGTTATCTTAAAGCTGTGTCTGTGCCGGAATCACAAGAAGCCTTTGCAGCCAAGCACTGACAGGGCCAGGTTAACCCGGCAGAGGTAAAGCCAGGGCCAAGAGCATCACCTGCAAGCTGGAAGCAGCCTCTCCAGGCAATCAGCTCCCCAAGAGCTGCCCCAGAACCCTGCTGCTCCCCAGCCCTGAAGCCAAGAGACCCCGAGGGGGCACTTGCACCTCCAAGGGGAGCCTTTGTAAGGCTGCAGGATCCATTTGCAGCCTCAGCGGGTGCTGCCAGTGGCATGTTTGGTCTGTGAGTGCCATCTACAGGGTTCCCCATTGCCCGGGCCCTCACCTGCCCGCTCCAATGGAAGCCCCTGCCAAGAACAAGGTTAAACCATGCAGCAAATGCAGCCACTTGCCTCCCGTGGGGCAGGAGAGCAGGGACACGGGGAACCCGGCTTCTCACTTCTTCAGTGCCACTCATCTGCACAGCTAAGCCTCCACAGCCACCCTCCTTCACGAGATGGGTGGAAAGCAGATGTTAGTGCCAGGGAACATCCTTCATTTGATTCAGGCGTTAGTTCTTTGGACTGAAGAGCCAAGATATCCTCATCAGGCTCCCAAATAAGGAAAACGTAACTTGGTTCTCCTGTTGCAGAGAGGCTGGGATCACCCTTGTAGGGATTTTACTGAAGTCTTCTGTACAAGAGAAGGGATTAATGTCCCACAGGGAGGGAGGAAAGGGAGGAGATGCTGGGAAACCGAAACCAACCCTGAGATGACTGGCGAAGGTGAGCAGCAGGCAGTGAGAGACGTGCGGCCCCAACACACAGGGCAGGTTGATGGTGCAACTGCTGCCAAGCTCAGGCAGAGGGAGCTTCCACGACGGCACCAGCCCCACAGAACCACAGAGGGAGCAGGTGAAGGGAATGCTTTATTCCACTTGTGTCAGGATACAGGAGGGGGGGATGCTGTAAACCATGGTAAACCAAGCAATCGATGCAGGGCTGGTTGCTATTCAGAAGTAAAGCAGCAACTGAAGCAGGAGGCGAAAGACTCGCTCCCCCCTTCCCGGGAGCACAGGCAACACGATGCACTCAGGAGCTGCTTTATTGACTCCTTGGCAAGCTGCTCAGGCCACGGGTCCCTCTCCCAGCGCAGCAGATCCCGTGTCCAAGGGAAACAAAACAGGAGCACGTTATTAGCACCAGAGAGCCGATGCTCAACTCACGCTCAGTCAATCTCATTAACCTCAGCAGACGGTGCAGTCGATTTGCCTCGCAGCTCAGTATCAACAGCAGAGGATTCGATGCAGCTTTCCAAGAAGATCAGAGGGGCAATTACATAAACTTAAGAGATGAGGCTTTGGCTTTACACGATTGGCATTGTTTCAAGTGAACCCTGCAGCTGTCACTTGTGACACACACAGGCTGGTGACTGCAGCATCGTCCTCATCACCCCGTGCCCATCAGCTCTGACAGCCTTTTGGCACTATTGCCCGGAGCCCTGCACACGCCAAAGTCCCCTCCTGGCCCCCCCAGCTCACTCTGGAGGAAGAAAAGGAGCTGGTGAGGCATCAGCCTGCCCAGGGACAGGCACACGCTGCTCTGAGCAGTGCTGTGTGTTCACACAGGCACAGCCCTGCAGCCACGCAGCTCCCGGAGCGGAGCTGCCCTGCATGCTCAAGAGCACACCTGTGTCTGTGAGCACACGTGTGTTTGTTTGCCTCCATGTATTTAAACCTAGCCTGGAATGCTACTGGAAGATCCAACTGTTGCAGAGACCTACGAGGCTATCAATGCCTGTATTAAATACACATAAAGTACCTAAAACTATCACCCAAGTAACTACTCAGCTGCTCTCTTCTTACAGGAACAATGAGAGGCTTTAAAAGCCACTCTCATTAGCAAGATCAACCCCTCCCAAAAGAGCCTGCACTGATTCCCATGGGCTGTTCCACCGCTGGGAGGAAAAGCTGCTCCGACAGCTCTGATTTATTCTTCCAGGAGGCATGGAGCAGCAATACCAAGCAACAGACTTGTCCTCAAAGGAGCCTCGCATCTGTGATCAGCATCTTTGTCTTCTCCTCTGAGAAAATGCCTTTAAGGATACTTTAGAACGGAGCAGGAATGCAAGGTCCTGGCCTGCAAAGAGCAAATCCAGAACCAGGCCTCCAGGGTTCAGGATGCTTCAGGGGAAAATGAAAACAGCCACACAGGGGCATTGATGACAGCTCAAACCAGGCTCCAGACAAAACAGGATCAGAGCAGAAGTGACAGCAATGCTACGCTATAGCCCCACCATCACATTTTTCCTCTCTACCCTTTAGACTCTGAAGAACTGTGTCCCCTGGGCTGGCAGATCCTCCATTACCACGTGCATACACAGCATCAAAATCCAGACCTCATTATGTGCTCTGGCTCATTCCTTCCACACCTTTCCCTGCTCCAATTCTAAATTATCTATTACAGCCAACTCAAATTCTAGCAAAATCACGTTCGCGCCAGGACCTGCGGCTCCAGGTCTCCTCTTATCAAAATCACCCAAATTTTAACACTAAAGAGAAATCATCCACTCCTGCGAGGTAAGGAAAAGGCCAAACTGCAACCCCCCCACCTGTCTAACAAGGAGCAGAGCCTAAAGAATGATCAAGCTCATTGCCTCAGGTAAAGAAAGGCCAAGGAAGGGCAGCCAAAAGGCTGAGCAGGGCCATGGCAGTGGGCTGAAGGAGAGCCAGGCTGACCCAGCTCTGGCACAGAGCCCTCAGCTCGGCACAGGGAGCTTGAAGAGGCAGAGAAAGCGATCAGCACGTGCACAGGCCTGCCGGGCTATGCAGGATCAAGGAAGACACGTTACCCCGAATCAAACACATCAGCTCTCTGATCACCCAAGGGGTAGCAATGGCCAGATTTAGCCATTACTCCATCCTCACAGAGGAACGCAGCGAACGCTTTCATCTCTGCATCGGCTAAACAAGCAGAAAGTACCTAAAAGAGGCATGAAAGGATATAAATGATATGAAATTAGGGCACATCCAGGTGCTGTGTTCACATGACAGCTAAAATACTAAAAATATATATATATATTTAAAATCTTTGCACGTGTGCAAGACAGCATCTGAGTGATGCTTCTCCAGGAAACCTCACCCACTGCACAGAGAAACGCTGCCCCTCACACCGGAGAGCACCAGGATCACACATCACTCCCTCAACCACGGCAGGAGGGGCCTCAGAGCACCAGAGACCCCCCTGCAGAACCGCCCTTGCTGTTTGGTTAAGGACAGCTCTTTCTGCTAAGGTTTGTCCCCTTACGTACAGAGGATTTGCTAGCTAAAAGGAAGGAACCATTACTCCAAAGCTTTCTCAAACTTCATCTCAAAGGCGAGGTCAATGAGGGAACTCCCTGACCTGCAGGGTAACTCCCTTGGGTTCTCCTAACAAAGGCACTACCAGTTTTGGGTGGGGTGGGACCTGAGGATACAGGTCTGCAGTACCCATAGTTTTCAAGGGTGGGCCTTCCCTTCAAGCTTAAAATATGCCCTAAACAGGAGCACTGAGCAAGCAGTTTCACCATTGTAGCAGCAGCTCCACCTAACAATGACCTTCTAACACATTCACATTTGGTCCTGGACTCTAAGAACCCAAACACCAACAGGATGGGCTGCACAGAAACATCCCAGTTTCCTGGGCGGACACTGGAACACAGCGTGAGTACCAGCAAATGGAGTGAAACCCCAGTACCCTTCAAGAAGAGAGTCATTCCGAGCCAGGGTTGTCTTGGTTTAAGAATCACAACCTGCAGGGGTCTGGGTCCTGTTTTTCCAGCCATCAGATGCTCAGAGACAGGTCACTCATCACACCAGCAGTGAAGGCGCCCGAGCCAAACTGTAGGGCTCCAGCTCTTCCTCAGGTGATCACAGAGAGAGCAGCTCAGCATCCCGCAGCTTGGTCCACGTCACAGCCCAAGGGAGCTGGGCAGAACAGTCTGAACACCCCACAAGCCTGATTCCTCTTTTGGGGACCTGCTCCTCGGGGCTAAGTGGCACCTTTTGCTTGTAAACATGTCTTTGTAAACTCATGTCATGACCTGGGACTACCTCATGTAACTGCTCACCCTGCAACTAGAAGCAAATCGATGCATTTAACTCATACTTGGAACTGACAGGACACTGTCCACACCCAGTACTAGTGTAACAGACAACAGGAGTTCTCCCAGCTCCTACCAGATCAGAGTTGACTACAGAGACGCTTCCAAAAGAAGTAACCTAATGCTGCATGAAGGAACAAGGATCAGCCTGTAAAGGAACCCACTTGCCTGATACATCAAGCTGACTGCCACAGTAAGTAGAGAGGGACGTGAGCACCTATAAAACACACAGCTGCAGCACTTGAGTCCAGAGTGGAAAGATTACAAAGGCTGAGCATCCATCCGGGAGTCACGTTCTCCTCAGCACCTCCCTATGCAGGTAACAGCACCCAAGGCAGCATCACTTCGCTTGCAGCTCCACCTTTCCCTAAAAATGCGTGTGAAGAAAACAGGTTTGGTCCCCTTTCCCCCACCCCAGCTATGGAAGTGTTTGGACTGTTCGTTAATAGTCATTTGAAGCAAAGATAGAAAACAAAGCTCGAGCACTGGTGATCCCGCTGGACTTGCAGCCCCTTGGTCAGTCTGTGCCGTTGGTCCCAAATCACCTGGGAAGAAGAAGAAGACACCCAGCATCAGTGTGAGCAGGGAGAGCGTGGCAGATCACTACCGACCTCACGACAGCTGGGGGAGCTGAGGGGCCAGGCAGCCAGCACACCCGGGCAAGGTTCCTCCTCAGCCTCAAACACCTGCCAGAGAAACCCGACGGGTGTCATCCAGGGGCTGAAATCACAGCACTGGGAAAGCAGGAATGGATGCCTCAACGGCACCGGGAGGTTTAGCTTAGGGGAAGTTCTTGTATTGGGAAAACAAGGAGGTTTTGTTTTCCTGTCTCAGCTTGGACACACGGGCTCTGTCCCTCCTAGGGGCCAGCTGAACACAAAGCAGTGCTCCAAACAACCCGGAGCACGTCCCTTTCAGCACACTTGGTCACACAGACGAAGAAAGGCGAGATGAAGCCTGTGTGCCAACACAGGCAGACCACACACACACACAGAAGTGTTAATTTATGCAGCTCTGGTTACAGGATCTGTGCCAAAGCTCCCACGTCCATAGGAAAGGAGCTTTAGCCCCTTGGGAGGAGGAGAGAAACGCACAAACCAGGCGCTTACCGCTGCAGGTTCCTCATCTCAAACACCGTGTCCTCGTCGCTGTCGAGCGAGCCCATCTCCGTGTTCTCGTCGTAGCTCGACAGGAGCCCGTATTTCTTCCGCTGAGGTTTCTTCAACCTGAAATGAGTTTTTCGCTCGTTTCTGGCTCCCTCTGACCTAGGGCTGGGGAACACAGAGCGCAGGGTGAGGGAAACGGGGCCTAAATGAACTGGGCTGGGAGGCGTTTCATGGCTGCTAATGACCTGCGGTAATTAACAGCGCTGTAAGTTCATAGCAGCGCTTCTCACCCCCGCTGCAAAGGGGATGCGCAGGGAAGCAAAGCTCCGGCCCGGCAGGAGGAGGAGGGAGGGGGAACCCAAAGCAAACGGGGCTCGGCCGCGGGGCCCCGGGAAGGGGACCGAGCCAAGGCGGGGCTGTTCCCCGGGCCGGGCCGCACTCACCGGAACGCCCGCAGGAGGAAATAAAGCGCGGCGAGAGCCGAGAGGGCGCTGAGCACATAAACCGCCCGCTTCAGCACCGGCAGCCCCGACCCCGGCAGCAGCCCTGACCCTGGCGGGCGCCGCGCTCCCGGCGATGGGCTCGGCTGCGTGCCGTTACCCGCGGCCGCCCGGGTGGCGCCCGTGGCGTTGTTCGGGCCCGGGCTGGGCGGAGGAGCGGCCCGGCCGCCGTGCGACAGCGGCAGGAGGAGGAGGACGAGGAGGAAGAGGAGGCAGAGGGGCTCCGGCCGCAGCATGGCCGGGCCGGGCGCCGTGGAGCGGAGCCTCGGCGGGGCGGGCGCAGGAAGGCGGCGGGACGGTGCCGCGCAGCGCAGGCCCCGGCCGGCCCCGGCGGAGCCGCACGCCGCGTTCCGGGGCAGCGCCGTTCCGGGCCGGCCCAGCCGCAGGCCGCGACCGACCGGGCTCCGCTCCGCTCCGCCTCCGAGGGCGGCCGCTCCCCGCTCAGCGCCGCCGCTCCCAGCGTTTCTAAGCCCGCACAGCGGCTCCGGGGTCTCAGCCACCGCTTGGCTGCGAGCTCCCCCGAGGAAGCAAACGGCGTTTTGTATAGGAACGGTGTCCCCCCCCTCCGCAGATGTCGCGACAGGCTCCGGCCCCTTCACCCCGCATGCAGCCCCGTATCCCGGCTCCCTCAACCCACCCGGCGCCACGACGAGCACTGCCAAAAAGCAGCGGGTCGCTGTCGATGGTTTCTGCCTGCGTTTAAGCACCCGGTCTCAAGGAAGGGCTTTCAAATAGCACTTGGTGTTTCCAGCTTGAATTTGATTCAACACCCGGCTGGCAAAGGATTCTCATGTTGTGATATAATCCTCCAGTACCATGCACATCCCCATGCTGGACACAGCAGCCAAAATGTGGTGCCTGTTTTTTTTTTTTTTAAATCCCGTTCATTCAGGTAATTTGAAAAAGGTTAAAAAAAAAGGTTTGAGGAAGGAAGCTCCATAATCATTCCCATTCCATAGACACAAGCAGCCCCAGGGCTCTCATAGTCCCGATGGCTCTAAAGCAGCAAGACCCCTGCTCGCCACCATGCAAATTCCTTTTCGCCTGGGACTCCCCAGCAAGATAAAAGCATCTCTTAATGAGAGCACAAGGTTTTAAAGCTGCTTTACCACTTAATTAGTTTATTTATACCAGCCAAGCATCCCGCACCTCCATCACTGCTGCCTGCTCAGGGGAGCTGACTCAAGGAACAGAGCAGGAGCAGCAGCTACACCTCAGCAGGCTGGCAAGCCCCAGCCTGCCTCAATAACCAGGCTTTAGAGCCCGGAGAACACACCATCAACTCTGCCCTTCAAACACCCTGCAGCACTCGTTGGCATTGTCACCAGACCCATGTGATGTCTCCCAAGTCACTCGAGCTGTACGAGCAGGCTTCTTTGCGTAACACACTATTAAGAGTGTCCTCCAAGCAGGGCAAAGCACAACCAAAAGCCAGAGAGGCAACAGTAAAAAGGGGGAAAGGCAGGGTAAAGCAATCAACTGCTCTTTCAACACAAAAAAAAGGTGGGCAGGGTAGCAAAGACCATCAGAACCCCTCCTCCTGGCCTACAATACCAGGGCAGCCTCCTGCCCCATTCTCTTTAAAGCTGCCTAAAACACATTCACAGCCACCAGCCTCTCTGGCAGCATAAATCCTCATTACTGAGCTGCCAAGTTTTCAGGTTTGAGCTGAGAACAAGACCTCTCTGTTTCCTGAGCATCAGGTCACAGAGTGGCTCTGGCAGGTCTCACTCTCATTTTGGAGCCCCATGCCAGGCCATCAGCAATTAAGTCATCTAAGCTGCTACCTCTGCGAGCAGCAGAAACACATCTGAGCTTTCATCAGCAGAACTTCAACTGCTCCGATGCATGGGGAAGGAAATCATTATCCAAACTCAAAAAATAGATTTAGCACTTAAGTGCAAATTACTTTTGTATTTTCTACCATTTCAAGTGGAAGATCAGCCTCTGTTCTACAAACACCAGCTCCTTGTTCATGTGACTTCTCAGTCAACAGCTCCCTTCAACAACTGAAGCTCTGCAGACGCACAACCTTCACGTAATGAAGGTTGAGATGCAATTGACTTTCTTCCCCAAACTTGCCCTTGCAGGTGCTCTCCGTTCACCCCCCCAACCAAAACAGCACAGGTTTCATTTTGTATTTTTAACTGGGCTATACACCAGATACCCAGATCCTCTTTTACACCTGGGCCACATCCAATATTCCTGTGTTTTCCCCACAAAAGCACTATGGAGATTCATGTTTTTTTTCCACATTCCAGTATTTTATTCCAGCTTAACTAATTGCCTTGTTCCATTGATCTATATAAAAAGACCAGATACACCCCTGCTCCAAGCTCTTCACCTCTCCAGTCAGTGGCCATTCTTCTGGGTCTTCTGATAAATTTCATTGCTGCAATGAAATGAAGACATAGAATTTAAAGGGAGACATAAACCCATGGAAATTTTCACCTAAAAAAACACCAGTCTTGACATCACCACTAAGAGAAACGGGGAGAACCTGCTGGTTCAGGCAAAGGGACTGAAGAGACCTTACCTGGGTGGCAAACTCCCATGCTGGTCCCGATTCCTCAGAACGAAGGCTCTCCTTTCCTCAAATCCCCACTCGGCTTCAGTGTTGAGTATCCCTCCTCTCTTCAGCCTGCCAAAGCAAAGGTGCATTAATAGAGGTATCAGCTGGAGACTTCACATTGCCACCCGCCTCCCCCAGCACGAGTCACATCAGATACAAGGGTTTCACAAGCCATTCGCTGAACCCATCACACCACAGAAGCACAGTCTGGGAAAACTGTTCCGGGCTGGCTGATGCCTTGGACACACCAGCCAATGTATCATTTGATCCCTAAGCAGAGAGTTAACCACTTTGACATGGCTGCTTAGGAGGTGTGGGCTATGGGAAAAAGTTAATGGCAACAAGTAGGATGGCAAAGAAAGCTACAATTAAAGTGAGCAACTTAATGAAGTCTAGAAAGATTCTCAATAGATGAACACATATCGAGTCAGGGAATTCATTTCCCATCTTGCTTCCATACCTACTAGCAAGACATGACTGCATGCCCATCTCTGATCTGTGGAACCGAAGTTGTGCCACAAGCCAAAGGTTGCATACGGCATGGGTTACAATTTTTCCCTCAGTTGACCAAAATTGCCAAAGGAATATTTCACAGGTACATTAGACTTTCAAATGAGCTCTCAACAAGAGGAAGGATGCGGACATGAGCAAAAGGAGTTACCTCGAATTACAGGACTATTTCCACATATGAACTAGCCAAGAGAGCAGCTTTCGTCTCAGAGGTTTCTGTTGGAGGCACAACACTTCTTTTCTCCAAGGACACTGCAGTTTTCATATGCTAGCAAAGAATTCTTAGAACTTGTAAGGCAATGACAAAGCTACCTAATCACGGCAATTTACCTACCAGTGAACACTTTTCAAGTTCCTACCGAGTCCAGTTACTAAAGGACTGATTCTTTACTACAGCTTGTCAATGTAGGCTACTTCAGCATTAAGGAAACATCAATCATCCTACCTAACACTGGCATTCCCTCAGCTGCTGACTTAGGCTTTGAGTGCTGAAGCATCCAACAGCATGTGCTTTCAGTCCTCGTATGTGAAAGTATGTTCAATTCACATGTCAAGACCGATTCAGATTAGAATCTAGCAGCTGGTCAATAACTCTGGCTTGCTCTTACACTGCCACTTGCTTCTCCTCTGACATCCTCTACTAAAGACTGTTCTTTTGTCTTCAAGGATTGTGTTGTGCAATGAAATGTACATGTCAGGAGCAGAGTTCATTTCAGACGGTCTTTTAATAGGCTTCGTAAAGCCAAAGAAAACTGTATACAAGAATCCTTTACCACTTCAAATACAATATCAATGGAATATGCATATTTCTTCCAGTAAAAAAGGACAATATAAATAAACATTTTCAAGAACCTCTTTTATGGTAAGTTTGCAAGTCTATTTCTGGGTAATTTACATCATTACAACAGTAAAAATACCGTTATGCAGGTTGAACATACAAGCAAGTTTCTCTTTAGATATATCAAGGTGGTTTGCCTTCCAATCTGTACCCAGGCTGCATTCCTACCTTGCTACACTAAAGGAATGTTACAAAAGACGAAGGTAATGCACTTAAAAAAAAGGTAAGTCCACAGCTTGTTCAGCTTCCAGTGAACATTGAATTAAAGGTCCTTTCTATCTCAAAAGAAACTGAATGGGGGCCCCAACTTCACCACTTACAAAAGAGAAAAAACCTTGGCTCATCATGGGAGGGCAAAATAAAACGTGAAGTGCTTTCAAAAAAAGATTAAAAACACTTGAAAGCCGAGCTTTCTTAAAAGGAAAGTCTAATCAGACCATCTCGTATCAGAAGCTGTCAGGCTGTGTTTGACAAGATTCAAACTGATAATACTACAAAAGTGGAAATACAAGTAGATGTACTACACAATAACCATTTCAGCGAAGCTCCAAAAATCTTTATAAATACAGCCATTGGAAGGACGATCTTGAGTCAGGAAGGATTTTTACTCGTTGTGTGTAGCTGAGGACAAGAAGCAGGCACAATTGTAAAGGCACTGAAGCATAGACAAGTTCCAGCATTTTACTCCCTTGCATTATTTCAGAAGCTAGTGCTAGTGGGCTACATCGCAAGAGAACTTCCCCCACCCTTGATTAAAGTTTGTTAGGGCATCTGAGTTTTGTCTTTAGTCTCAAGCTTGAGGAATGTATTTTAAAAGCTCCCTTTGCCTTAGATCCAAGCAACTCCTACACATGCATTACAAATTAGAAACTTAACTGGCACAACCACGTCCAAAGCCTGACAGATTGGTTCTTACGGGCAAGAACAGCAATAGCGGTACAGTCCGACTGAGCATCTCCAGACTCAAAAGTACAGGGTCAGAAGGTTTAGAGTTCCTACAGCAAACGTACTTGTCATTCCCATTTGAACCAGGGCTTACCGTAACTGTCATAGCTGTCTCTGTATGATCCTCCTGATGACCTGTCTCCATAGCCACCTTGACTCCTGCTGTGAGAAACATTCACCCGCTTTATATTTGCTCAACTGCTCCTGGAGCCTACTGACACATATGCCCACGAGGCAATGAGCTTAAAGAGCTTTGCAACAGCCCACTAGCACGTGGGATGACTTTACCTGCTATTATAGTAGTCTCTGGAGCCATTATATCCCCCACTTCTGGAATCAAATCTGCTTCCGCCATAGCCTCTGTCACCACCACCTTGAACAAACACAGGTCACGGGTTTCTAAGCATCCTGACAACCACCACCACTGCCCCCCACGCCTCAAGTGATCCACGTCCACTC